AAAAGGCGGTTTCATAAGGAAACTTTTGAGATATGAATGGTTTTATAATTTGTTCTAGAATATTCTAAAAATTTTTTTGCGTACAGTACTATACGCGACACATCACTACCGTCAATGTTACACGTATTTTAAAACAGGCTACTGCTACATAACGATATAATTTAATTTGTGACCCATTTTAGGTAGATAATCGACATAACCGTTAATTTCGTTACTGCGCCACACAGATCATCCCTTCCACGTGTTTCCCGGATCACGTTTTCACAGCTAACAATAGTTGTGTGTTAGTAAGCCATATCAAAGAAGAATACGTATCTACGACTTTAATCCCACTCGCTGAATATAACCTCCTCTATCGACTAAGCCTTCCTAGTTTACACGACGTCTTAGATTGTAGACTGACTCGCCGTATGGAGTTGTCACTACGAAAAGAACTTTAGCATCTTAATCCTCGGAAACCTAATTAAGGAAAATGATCGACTTATCCGTTAACTGTCCCGTGCCACATTGATTACGGCATATCACATTTTTCTGGGGCTAATAATATTCCCGATAGAAAAACCCGAAAACGTGAAAGTGATCTATTATATTATAATTACTAATATTGTTAGCCTGTAGATTAGTACCCGTTCCAAGTCCCGAGTTTTATTTCTTTTATTTTTATTATATTATATTTATTTATTATTATCTTTTTATTATACCTGTATATAGTTATTTATTTATAATTCGTTCTGCTCATGCCCTTGTTTACGTTTAAAAACCGTGGTATTAACAATAGATAAACATTAAGATGAGCAGTTGGGGCTAATGCCAAGCCAAATATTCGAATAAGCCAGAAAAATAGTACTATGAGCAGTGTGGCTTCGTGCTACGATAGAATGGATGTGGCAACTGTTCACGAAGAAGTAAGCGACTGCTCATAAAGTTCTCAAACGCCTTTATAATTACTCAGTATAGCCTTCGCGAATAAAATTGTATAAATATAGGTCCTTTTCGCCTTTCCAAAAAGGACCAGTTGTGAATTGAGTTACGAATAAAGTTACTGAAAAAGTTCTAAATAAATAACTCCCTATACAATATATTAAAACCTCTAATTCGTCCTGAACATCAACTTACCTAACTTCGATTAATAAGTAATCGTTCCCTTATTACATTAAACTGTCTTTGCATATAAATATACGCTGTGTCTCTTAGTTAACATAAAGGAAGTAAGCATTAAGGCTGAATAGACCTTTCCCTGAATAACCAAGAGCCGTATATTATATAGAGTTGTATAGTTTATAAAGTATAATACGCTTACGCAGGATGACCTATAGAAATATTATTCCGAACACTTAATCACTTAGTGATAAAATTAATTATTTATTACGCTCATTTATTTAGATCACTCTTAAAATAATCTTTAAGATTCAAGCCACTCTTAATTAAATCAACCCCGATTACCCGTAAACTATCACCCCTTCCGATCAGTTACTAACGACCTAGCCAAATATAGTATATCGAATCCTACCAACAGTACTTCCTTTAATAGTAATTATATTATTAAACTCAGTATCACGTTAACTATTGGAACTAAACTGTACTATATTACCCGCTCTCCCGATTTACAATAGTAACAATATCATAAATTAATATGTATTTTTATTCTGCGTTTTGCTTACCGTTATAGTAGGATTTTCTTACTTCCATAAGCAATACAAATCACGTGCCAATAGTATTTTTTGTCTTATTAAGGCTCATCGATTCATCTATAGCCAATAGAAACTCGGATGGATTAGTAAATTGATGAATTGATAGTCACTGATCGTCAAAGGCCATAATGAAAGATCGTAACGAAATAATTGTATAATCATTTCTGAATTTAAATTATATCAATACGATTATGAGACCTTAATTCTGCAATATGACGCACTTTAAAAAAGTATTTGAAAAGAGGTCGAGTGAAGAAGACCAGTATATATATATATATATATATTTGTTAAAAATCTAAAATAGATTAACTTTACTTGTATGTTTTTATAGTTCATTCAAACCTATTCTCATGTATTGGGTTCTATTTTATCACAAAAAGTACTAAATTTAAAAATCTCGAAAATTTTCTTAATTCGATAAATTGATATATACGTATACATCATTTAAGATCAGGTGACTAATATAATTATACGATTATATACGCATATATATGATTGAATACAGAAATATGTTGCATCATTGGTAAAAAAATTTACTTAGATTCTCAAAAAACTCTCAAAAATCTGGATGTATTGAGAAACTTTCATAATATATTTTCTACAATCTTAAACTTGCTTTTTTTTGAATTTTAAAACAGTCAACAAATTCTTGATTTGGCTTTTTAGTATTAGCACATCTTGATATAATATGTTCATTATAAAGCCTAATTTTTATTCGGTGCCTTTATATCCCGGTCATGCCGAAATTAGTAACTTGGCCGAATCGACTGAAAATCATTCGGCTAATTTTTTATCAGGTGTGTCAAGATTTATGAAAACAGAGAGGCCGTCCGCGTGTATGATCTCTAGTTACTTATATATGTAATAACAAATTTATATTTATATTATTTTTTTTTTTAATGCTTAATCCCGAAGATCAAAGTCAATGTAACTTTCCCAGATTTTCTGTGCCTCTGAGTAACCTAAGTTTTTATTATAAAACTTTTTCCTAAAATGTTTTCAAAATTTTTAAATACGTACGTACGTACGTACTTGAGGAGTTTGTCTATTTGAAATTCCTATTTTCAATTCATTATAAATTATTTAAGAAATATTTTAGTAAGATGAATGCTTATCTTAATTTTGAGGTTAATATAATTATTTTCCGAATTTAGTTTATAGCGACGTATAACTGCATAACAGAGTCATAATTGAAAGAATGTCGTGTGATTAGTTTTCCAGATGTTTAGGTAACATGTCCTTTTTAGCAATTTATGTCATAAAAGATAAATTTAAACTAGATACGATATCGTTGAAGTTTATATCAATATCATATCATATTACTAATAGTCTTATCAAAAAGCAACAAATTTCATCAAAGTTGGCAAATTAGTCATACACTTGCTTTCAAGAAATTTTATACGTCGCTAATAAGACAGAAATTTTTTCCATATATCATTCTAAATTATTGATACCTTATCTTTATACAAATAGGATGACTCCGAATCAGACTTTCAACCTCATGATCTTATTAAAAAATTTAAGAAATGGTCAAGTACTCATGATATTTATTCTTTGAAAAAAATCATCAAAGATAACAAAATATCACATAAAACGTTAATTGATTCTATTGAATTGTTAGCTGATTCATCTGTATTTAAATATTATAGTATTGAGGTTATCTCTGAGCTAGAATTACACCTTCGCACATTAGTTTCTCTTATAGAAGTAATCTGCAAAAGTGAAATTCGGATTAGACATGATTTAAGAGAAAAAATTTATGCCGAGTTAGGAAAATTTGCTGAAATACATTTTCGATCAACTGAAGTTAATGAAGAAGGCTTTAATAAAGTTTTTAAATCAAAATTTGAGGATTTTAATCCACATTCAAGTGATAGTAAAATTCATAAGGACGGAAAACGTAATTACAATATTGATTTCTTGTTATTACATTTGCGAGATACTCTTCATTGTATAAAAGATGATGAGAATAAATTTTTGGACATATGGAATAGATCAAAAGCACTTCTTTACATGATATTAGGTATGACTCCAGGACTTGTAAGAACAGGAACTTCACACGGTGTATATTTACCTATAAGCAATGTACAATTGTTGTTTAAACATTTACAAGAAGCCTTTAATTGGAAGTATCCAATTTCATCATGGTATTATGAATGGAGAACACTACTTGAACTACATTTTAATATTCAAAATTTTCTTCAAGAATGTTCACTTTCTTTAAAATATGGAGAAAGTCTATTACTTGAATGCTTATGGCATTGTGTATCAAAAAGTTGGCCAAATTCAATATCTCAATCAGAAACTCTTATAAATAAAAAACATTTTGTCAACAATCTTTTAGGGATGGAACCTATTGCATTTCCACATACTTTATGGTTTGGAGCTCTTGATATTGCACAAGATTTAATTTCAAAAACTCAAAGGGATTCAACATTAGGCATTTGTTATTATTTAGCATTAGAATCTTTGCAAAAAGCACCTTCATCTTTTATTAGTTTCAAAGCTACTGAAGTTTTGATTAAATTGTCAAAAAGAAATTTGCTATTTTACAGCATTATCGAAAATGATTTTAAAGATTATAAACACTCTTTAGATTCAGGAAAAGGGATAAATTTTCATCATATGATTGAAGCAATTCATGTAAAAGTTTCTCAAGATGAAAAATTAGTAGGCACTAACGGTAACAATATAAATAATTTAAAAAAGAAAGGGAAGGCTATTGCAACATATAACTTAATATCGCCTTATACCATAACTTCAAGTGATAATTTTATTTCAGATATTGTAACTACAGAATTATCTTGTCCAATAACTTATCAAATACCAAGCAATTTTCAAATTTTACCCTGTGAACATTCAATTAGTCCTGAAGCATTGCAACGAATTATTAACAAAACTTCCAAGCCAACTTGTCCATTATGTCGAAAAATTATTGATTTAAATTCCGTAATTAATTTACCACAATCAGCAATTTATCAAGGAATCCGTAATTATTTGTCTGAAGAAAATAATAATAACGTTGTTCAAGATTACAACAAAAATATTTCAGATGCTATTAGTGATGATGAAGAAATTAACATGTCTAAACTTAAATCTCAGAAAAAAATTAAAGCATCTGATTCAACAGTAAGAAAATTTTTTAAGACGCCGAAATTTTTTCACCCATCTTTAAGAAAAGCAAACACAGCATATAAATTAGGAGAACTTGAAACAACTATTAATGCACTTACAGAAATTCTTAAAGATTATCCCACAAGCTATTCATTACAATGTTATCGGGCAAAAGTATTTATAGAATGTAATAAATTTCATGAAGCAATTAATGATTTAGATTCAGCTATAAATCAGAAACCAAATAAATTTAATGCTTATTCACTACTCGGAATAACGTATTTTAAAATTAATCAATATAATGAAGCATTTATCAACCTAACAAAATCATTAGAAATAGAACCAAATAATGCATCTGCATTAAGTTATCGTGGTATGATTTATTATATAATGGAAGAGTATAATAATTCACTTTTGGATTTAACAAAAACGCTAGAGATTGAGCAAAATAATGTATCTGCATTATGTTATCGTGGCATGATTTATTATATAAATATGGAATATAATAATTCACTTCGGGATTTAACAAGATTATTAGAGATCAAGCCAAATAATACATCTGCATTAAACTATCGTGGCAAGACTTATTATATAATTAAGGAATATTTTAATTCACTTCGAGATTTTACTAAATTATTAGAGATTGAGCCAAGTAATGCATCTGCATTAAGTTATCGTGGTATGACTTATTATATGATAAAAGAATATAATAATTCAATTTTGGATTTAACAAAATTATTAGAGATTGAGCCAAATAATACATCTCCATTAAGTTATCGTGGCATGGCTTATTATATGACAAAACAATATGATAAATCACTTTTAGATTTAACAAAATTATTAGAGATCGAGCCAAATAATGCATCCGCGCTAAGTTATCGTAGCATGGCTTATTTTATGAAGAAGGAATATGATAAATCACTTTTGGATTTAACTTTATCATTAGAGATTGAACCAAATAACAAACCCCTTAAGAATTTAATAGAATTATTAAAAATTAGACCAAATGATAAATCTGCTTTAAGATACCGTGGTATTATTTATCATACAATGAAAAAATATGATAAATCACTTTTAGATTTAACAAAATCATTGACTATCGAGCCAAATAATGCATCTGCATTAAGTTATCGTGGCATGACTTATTACATGATGAAGGAATATGATAAAGCACTTTGGGATTTAACTTTATCATTAGAGATTGAGCCAAATAATGCATCCGCACTAAGTTATCGTGGTATTATTTATTATATGAAGAAGGAATATAATAAATCACTTTCGGACTTAACACAATCATTAGAGATCGAGCCAAATAATTCATCTGCATTAATAGGCACCCGTAGGTTTAGTATACTAAATTTAGTATATAAAAAATTGAAAATTTCTAAAGATACCCGAATCATGGATCTTCCTCTTGATCGCGACCAAAATTTTACCGGCACGTAAAATTCGTTTACATTAGAGGAAGCATTTGCTTTAGGGTTGGATATTAGGTCATTATAAAGTAAAATTACAAGGAAACCTTTTTTTAAGGCACAAATCGTAATTTCCTATGTACATTTTCAAGAAATAAGTGATTTTGACAAAGCGAATGTGAATTTTTCTGTCCATGTTACATCTGATCTTGTAATTTGATTAGCAAAAAATCCATATTGTCTCGAAAAAACGCCCTGGGGTATAGGTTGAAATTCAGCCCATTTAAACGTAATTCGGCCTAATTAGGCTTAATTCTGGCCAAAGTTTAAACCTACACCCCCGGGACGTTATTTCAAGACAATACGGTAAAGTGCCACGAAATTTTGGTGGCAATACAAGGGTAATTTAGTATTAGGGCAATATTGGAATGGACAGTGGAAATGAACATTGTACAACCTTTGCCCAATCAAGTTCAATCTATTGGACCAGGAAGTATCGGATATCGGATGTTGTGTAATATTGAAAGTTATATATAATAACATGGGTTCTTTGTCTTGAAAATCAAGTTGAGACATAGTAAATTATAAATTGATTTTCAAGGCCAAAACCCTACATGTTATCTAACCAATCGAATTACAATTATTAATTTTGTAAATTACTAAAGCATACATAATATACAAGTAACAAAATGTTTTATTCTAATTTATTATTTATTAGTTTTTAAAAAACTTATTTAATAAGTTAATTAAAAGGTTATTAACTATTTCTAACAAATAAAATAGTTGTGCAATATTTAAAATTTTATATTTGTTGTACAATTTAACTATATATAATTATTCTTTATGTAGTTATCTTCTATATAGTTATAAATTCAATATAGTCATTTTTGTAAATTTATTAACTTTTTTATTAATTTTTTACTTTTATATAAATACATTTACATTATAGTTATTATTATGTTTTATTTATTATCTATATAAAATATCTTTATATAATTATATTATTATTATAAATAATTTAAATAAATTATTTATTATTATAAATAGTGTTGCTATTTTTATCTTCTATTTTGCTAATGCAACCCTTCCAAAATGCATAAAAGTGCTTTTAAAAAGATATTATTATTGGTAAACCTCTTTTTAATATTAATTAAAGTTGTTTATTATACCTTTTCAGTTTTAATAGTGGTAAAATATTAAAATTAGATTGGTAGTTCTTTGTTAAAAGTAGATTAAAGATTATAAAATCTATATATAAATATTTTAAGAACCACTAGTCCAATCTTAATAATTTTACAGCTATTAAAACTGAAAAGATCTAATAACAACTTTAATTAATACCAAAAAGAGGTTTACTTAATAATTATATTTCTTTCAGTACACTTTTTTGTATTTAGAAGAGTAACATTAGCAAAAATAGAGATAAAAATAGCAATTTTCTATAAATATTTTGTATAAATTATTTTATTATTTTTTAATAAAACTTTTTAGAACTATTTTTTAAATAATTAAATATTATAACTATATATAAATTATTAAATACTCTAATTAAACATTATCAAAAAATGTAAAATTATACTTTACTTTTTCATCTTTCCCAACTAGCTTTAAATGATATCTTAATCTTAATTATCTCACAAATCATCTTTTCTTTCATCAATATCAAAAAGTACTCATACTATCTATAACATTTTTTCTACCAACCCACTCACATCTACTATCAATAGTCTTAGAAATAATAAAATCATCTTTCTTGAACAAATTACTATTACAAACAACAAAAATATTCCCACATAAAACAATATCTACTTATATACAAACAAATCTAATAAAGGTTGTTAACCAAAATGGTTTATTCAAATTTTACACTTAAATCAATCTAATACTATAGCCCAAACTTGGACTCATATAAACCTTCTATTACCAATACTTTTCTTAATACAATTACACTAATATCATTATTCCTATTTTCAAACTCTTACTATTTTTATTGTATACATTATACAAATAATCAAACACCATATATCTCTTAACAAATCTTTTTACAATAATTATCATTTTTTGAAATTTCTATATTCATTTCAGGATTCTCACAACTACTATTAACTACTAACTATCTAACAACAAATTTTCATTTATTCTTTCTATCTTACAACACAATCATCAAATCAAAAGATTCAATAACTATTCAAATTGATTTTAAAGAAATCTTAGCTTTAATTCATATATACAATACTACTATTATTCAATTGACTTTATCAATAAAACTACAAATATTATTTTTATCATATAAAACCCAACTTATTCAATAATTTATCAATATACTATTATACCAAAAACAACTAACTGATCTAAATCACTTTATTACTTAACACAGATAAATTATATTTCTATATTGATGAATCAATTAACAATCTACAAATTTCAAAAACCAAATATGATATAAGATGAATTTGTAAATATGATATATCTATAAAATTCAATGTAGTTATACAATTATATTCTAACTTAACCTATATCGAACTTGAAACAATTTTTATTTTCTTATTTGCAGTCCTATTTAACATCTTTTTAAATATTTACATTGATAATATAACTGCAATCAGAAACCTTAATTCTATTACTGACTTCAAACCTATACAAACCAAAAATTAGGATACTATTCACTATATTAACTACCTTAAATATATTAAGAACATTACTACTATTTTTTATAAAATTAAATCATATTCTACAAACTCTTTTCATAACTAAGCAGATTTATTTGTCAAACAAAAAACTACAAAACTTATTCTCAAAATTAATAATTCAAAATTTAATATCTCAAACTATTTTATATAAAATAACTATCTAATCTCTTTTAAAGTTCATACTTTCATCAAAAACTCTATAACTATTCATAAAATTGCCAAATAATCAAACTTAAAATTTTTCTAAAATATTACAAATATCAAATAATCATTAAAATTTAAAATCATCTCCTCACTTGAAAATAACTCACAAAAATACTCTTTTTGTATCAAACTTTTTACTAATAATTTACCAACTATACAAAATCTTAACATCTATTATCTATAACTCTATATTATTTCAAATTGCTCTCATTGTACAAATACTAAAGATACTATTCATTTATTCTTTTGTTTTAGTAATACTATGAACATTCTACAATTATTTAAAAATACAATATAAGATACTCTAATATTACTAAAAATTACCAACATAACTCCATCAATCTTACTAAATATTTTTTTAAATTTTAAACTCAATACACCAAATCCTTAATTCAAACATATATTATATATCATTACTGAAATCTTTACTTCTACTATTTATGAAAATCTCAAAACACTTATTAATAAACAAACTGATAACCTTCTATTTTAACTCTCAAACAATTTATTAAATTAGTTTTAGTAAGATCTCTGGTCTATTTGCAATACATATCAACATCAATAGGAAATATTTTATAACATTATATCAAAATCTAAATATACTAAAATTTACTTACCAATATCACCAAACTCTTCAAACAATACAACAATCCCTTCTCAAACTATAAATACTAACCCTTTTATTATCAAATAGTTTATACAAGGTTATTTACTAACTATTTGTATTTAATAATGTTTAGACAATTATTTAAAGGTTAATTTCAACCTATTCTAGCTAGAACCTAATTTGAAATAATTAGTTATAGCACTCATAGGAAATAAAGGGTGTAATGTTATATTGGATACCAACTTGTAACATAAATATAGTTTAGAAA